TTGAGACCTCCCTTGTATCTTCTGGAGCAGTAATTTTTTCAACATATTTGAGTATGGCTTCCCAGGACCACTCAGGAGTAAGTGAATTTTGGAGATGCAGAGAAATAAAATTAAATTCTTGCGCTGGTTCCTTTTTAAAGGGCAATGTGGAAATGGTTGCCCAGGACATTTGGTTTCAAGCAAATTGGAGCGGCTGTCACAAAAATGTAAGGTTCTGAAAACAGGGGCTCTGAAGCAGCTTGGGAAGGTCAAAGGATCAGCAAATTCTCAAACCAGATGGTATTTCTTCAGGGCTTTGGAAGAGAAATTGCCTGAAATGGCTGAGGTAGGGTTGAGAAGACTCAGGACTTCCCTAAACTGCTGCCAAAGAATGGAAAAGCTCTTCATGGCACTTAAAAATAGTTGTCTGGGATCTGGGTTTTAGAAACCACTGTGTTTTAATGATGCAGCAGAGGAAGCATCTCTTTTTTTTTCTAGCTTCATCAGGTGCCTAGAGCTGACACTGAGGAGCACAAGAGACATTTAAGCAGAGCGTGAAGGGCTTGAGGGAGACCGAGAGGTGAAGAGCCGTGGAGGACACCCACCTCTGATCCTGGGCAGAGTAAGCAGGGTCTGCAAACGCCGCTGGACTCCTGCCTTCCGCTAGTTATTCTGCTAGTCTACCTTCCGCTAGACCTGCTGAGGTCTGCTTGCCTCTTTCACTTCCAGAAGCACTAAGAAAACCCTATCGAGATGTCCTAGCCAGCTTTCTTTGGCCCTTAGCCTTGTCCTCAGAGAGGTAAAAATAGGAAGGTGCTCTTGAAGCAGTCTAGTCGGTGCAGCTCCAAGTGGTTGTTTTGCGATAGCAACTATGGGAGCGGGGATGCCGTGACATCTGAAGAAATCGCTGTTATGGGGTTTCTTGGCAAACCCATTCCTCGTGCTCCTGACGTAAGGACATCAGCGTGCGGGCGCTTCACCAGAAGGCTTAGAAAGATCCATTCAATTGAAAACTGGTGTTTGCTTCGTAAAGCCCTTGGGGCTGGAGGAGTAAAGCAAAAAACAACCTTGCAGACAGCTTTGAGTGTCCTGTGTTTTGCATCGAGATAGTTCTTTGCATTCTGCGCATACCCTGCATGCCGTGCCATTTCCAACCCGCCTGCTTCAAGGAAAGTCTGACGTCCCTTCTTCTTCGCCGGCAAGGAGCTCCGGGCCCACAGTGGAAAGGAGATTTGAGGTATTCCTGATCCAAAATATCCTGATCCTGATCCAGGAACCTGCCACCCTGAGAGGCTTTTAGGAGATGCTGGAAAGCTGTGTCCATCACTTCCCTCTGTAATCGCTGCAGCTACCCAAATCCTTGTGCTTCCAGCACAGACCTGCACCCGCTGCCGGCTGTAAGGCTGTAGCCACCTCCATCCCTAGCAGTTCTGGCTTGTTTGGGCTGAAATGGCTGGGAAACACTGCACAAGGTGCTCGAAGGGGCAGGAGAGCATCTCCTGGGTTTGGCACGTCCATCAATTATAAGAAGATGCTGATAAAATCTGCTAGTTACCATGCACGAGCTAGATCCCACCCTAAAGCCAAATGGTTCAAATCCAGGTCTTGTCCGGGTGCTCAGTCCTTCCTGAGGAGCCTTAAGCACTCACGTTAGTGCTGGTGCGTGGCCGTGACGTGCCCTCCACCCCCGGGAGCTGCGCTCCCTAACCTGGCTCCTACGTGCCTGTTCTGCCGCCGAGCCTGTTGTTAGCTCTGCGTTTTGTTTTTTTTTCTGTTTTCGTGGGAACTCGGATAATTCATCGCTTGTAAAGCGTGCCGGGCTGTCTTTCTGGAACGCAGCACTAGAGGAGCCGCTGGCACCTGAACTTTATTTAACCCACCTCTGTGGAAGACCAGTAACTTCTTCTAAATATATATATTGTTAACCCTTGCCTGCCTTCGAGTTACTTGGGGTAGCACCGCTCTGCTGCTTGTCTCTCTGGCTTTACAGATATACTTGTGCACAGAAAAAGGGGGAGACGAGTCTTCTGCTCCTGGTGAGCGTTGCACTGCTGGGGCTTGAGCGTGGTGAAATCCCCGAGCCCCCCGAGGAGGCGGCCGCGGGGAGCGCTGGGCACCGAGAATTACCAGAAGCAGGTGTGAGAGCTGCTCTCGCCTTGCACAGTTAATTAAAGGGATCAATTTTTGTTTTTCTCCTGGCGCTTGCAGTTGTGCATGGGTTTAATAAGGATCTGAAAGCACTGGTGCCGGGCGCGGGGGGATCATCTCGCAGCTCTTCTCCTCCCCGCACCCGCTCATCAGCTGCTTCCCCTTCTGCCAGACACGCGCTGCCGCTCGTCCCATCTGCAGCAGAACCTGCCAAGTTGTGCCTTGTGGTTTTATTTTTTTTAATCTCGTGGATAAACCTCCAGCGAGCACGAGCAGTGCCGGACTGCAAGGTTTTTGTTTGCAAGCCAAAATGGGGCTTCTCTGGGTGGGAAGAGTGTTGGGGAGCAGCTTTAAACTCCAATCCCTCTTTTCTTGTGTGTTCCTCAAGTGGTGCTGAAGCCTGCAGCAACGTAATGAAGGGCTGGACACCCTTCTTGTAGCAGGAACCAGACCTCCAGAGTGTGTGCCCCTTGAAATGTGGGATCCGGGATCTTCTGCTGCAAACAAAGGACCTCTTGGCTCTCTGCTAGTTTGGCTGTGGCCGAGCAGCCGCAGCTCCCATTGCATGTGCAAAATGATGATTTAAAAATATTGCTTGTCAAGGTGTGATGGTACCATCTTGCTGGACCGAAAGAAACAGCTTGCTTAGCTTGTAGTTCTCTTGTTTTAGGTGACCTGACCTCTTTGGTTCCCTTTCAGCTGCAATTAAATCCTTCTAAACGTGAGCTAAGGAGACCAGAAAGTCTGGGAGATATTGAAAGTTTGCATGCTGCGGGGTCTGCCGCTTTGTCAGATAAATCCCCTCCAGCCAGTGTGAACCAGCCTGCGGCCAGATGTTAGACATCGCAGCTTGATGTCCTATTACCTTCTGAATGAATTGGCTGCTCCTGCTGTCTACTAGATTAGCAACAAAATCCTGCTAAGTGGAGATTGTCCATAAAATCACGGAATAACGGTGATTTCTGTGTGCTTGGAGATGGCATCTCCTTCTGCAAAAAAATAATCACTTGATCCTCCAAGATCAGCCTTCCTGAAAAGAACTGCCTTTCTGGCTGGGGATTGATGGCGATCAGTACAGGTTAATTTAATAAATCTGTCCTCCCAGCGCACGTGTGTGTAAATATACATGTAAAACTCTGCACAGCAGCTTGTCTTCATGGGGTGAAGGTGGTCTTGGCCTGGGGGAGGTATTGCAGCTACATGCTAATCTCTCCTGTGTTTCTTTTAAGCATCTTTTCTCCCAGCGCTGGGGAAAGTTGTTTCTGTTTCACGGTGTTCCGTTGATGTCAGGGCTGGGGGGACCTGGGCTTGATTACACGAGAAATGTCTGCAAGTCTCCTAATCTGTCTGGGCCCTGGTTTCCAGTCTGCTGGTCACATTTATCTCAGTTAGGTCTTGCTGAGCTCCAACCACGTGCTCCCACCACCTCCGTGGCACCAGCCACGGTGTGGGTCAGACTCTTTGCAAGTAGATTCAGCTGCCGGAGAGGGGACGGGATGGCGTGGGAAGGGTAGGACCTTCCTGCTGTGCTCCAGGAACCTCCAAGGTTGGGTTTTTTTGTGCTTGAGCATGGCCATCTGACCGCTGACCTTCCTCTTCTCACTTCTCTTGGACTGTAGCTTCTTCAGCCTTTATTTTGCCTCTCTTTGCTTTGACTGTAAGCCCTTGTGTTGGGTTGTATCTCACTTGCTTCTCCATCAGTAAAAGCTAGCAGGGAAGTGGCCCCAGGTATCAGCTATCTGCTGGGAGGAAAAATGGTAATATTCAACGGTTGATTTTCCTGCCTGATAAAAGTGCCCTCTCCTCAGGGGCTGTCTGCGTCCTCCTCTGCAGCAGCACAGCCACCCTCATCGCCTCCGAAGGCTTTGCTGACAGCTGGGGCTGGAGCATTGCTGGGCAGCAAGTGCCTCAGTTTCTATTTAAACTGATTAAACCCATCGACAGTGTTAAATGAGTTTAATCCACTTAATTTGCCCTGTGGGCTAGCGTACTGTTATATAGATCCAGCAGCCTGCAGAGCGTGTTGTAGGCATGCGTCAGCAGCTGGAGGTGGGACGGGGTCCTGCGAGCTTGATTTTCAGGGCTGTGGTTTTGGAAATGCCTCTGCTTGAAGCTTGCAGGGTTTGAGCTCGGTGAGGAATCGGCCTGGGGGTGCACATGACTGAGGTTGTCTAATGGTTGTCCATTTGGGGCCCAAATTATTTGGGAGTGGTGTAAAAAGAACAGCCTTGAAAAGGGGGAGGATTAGCAATATCGGGGAGGTGTGTGCACTGGGGATAGGGCTGGCTGCTGTCTCCTGAGCTCTCCTGGAGGGGGGTGAAAGGATGGGTGAACTTCTGGGTGTCATTTGGATATCGCCGTCCCTGTCACTGCCAGCTCCACCACCCATTTGCTCAGGAACCTGGATTTGCTCCCCTTATTTGCACCACGTGGCTGACCTGCACCCCTGTTTGTAGCACTTCCAGAAGCATCGCTGGTGAGTGGGTAACCACCTTGTACCCTAAATACTCTTTTTTCCCACGTCCTTCCTGCGTACCCTCCTGGGATCATTTTTTTTCCCTGATTGTGGATCTTCTCTGGTGTTTCCATCCTGAGTCTATCACTGGTTTGAGACCTAAAAGGGAGCTGGGCTGAAGTTCAGAGCTTTGCAAGCCAGCTTGGGTGCGTTACTAGCTGCCTCTGCTTGGCTTGCCAAGACATCGCCTTTATCGTGCCGAGCTCCCGGTTGACCCTGTCTTTTCTGACTTGTGTGGGTTGCTGCCGGCCCCTGCCCACAGCCGGTGATGCAGATGTGCCCCCCACTAGCGAGAGCCCACAGTCTGGGGTGGCGTGGACGTGTCTCACTGCTCTGTGCTCTTCCCCTTCCTCCCCAGGGAGCTCAAACTGCGAAACTACGAGCCCGAAGATGAGGAGCTGAAGAAGAGGAAGGTGCCCCAAGCCAAGCCGGCCTCAGGTGGGTGCAAGCGAGGCGAAACGAGGCAGCACGAAAGCAGAACGCTGGTGCTGGTGCCTGCGGTGAGGGAATGAGGCGGCACTTGTGGTTGTGAGGACAAATAAAACAGCACGGGAGCCTGCATCCAGCCAGCACGCTGCGAAATGGACGGGTTATACCTTTTCTTTCCAAAAATCAGGTGGCTTGGAAACCTCTTTCCTGCTCGCTCCAGCCCAAGGTGGAAAAGCCACTGGGGTGTGTTCTGGTAGCAGCTTACTGGTGTGAGGGTGGTAGGTCCTAGGAGATGAGTGTCTGCAGCCCTGGAGGGTGCTGGCGTGTCTGAGCAGCCGTGGTGGGAGCTGGGCGAGCGCGGTGCTTGTGGGCTCTGTTGCTTCATCAGCTCCTCTCGCCCGTGGGGACTGCACACCCTGCATTGCACAAGCGGGGTGTGTGTCTGAGCACACCGAGTCCAGCCCCAAACCGAAGGGTTGATACTCAGAGGAGCCGAGCTCTCGCTGGAGGATTCTCAAGGAGATTCAGGCTGTTTTTTGTTTGAATTACCTTTAAACAAATATTAGTCATGAGTCCAGGGCGTTCAGTCTGCTATTTCTTAGCACTGAACCTCCGTGCAGCTCTTGAGAAGGAGGCGAAGGGTAGAAGTTCCCTTTATCTTGAAATATTGAGTCCTCCTGGAATAGATCTCTTTAAAAAGGCTGCCTTTGGGAGCACGGCGGAGATCTGGTAGGTAGGAGCACTGACGTTGCGCTTTCTTTATCCTTTCGTGAAAATTTAAAACTTCCCCTGACTCTTCCCGGGCGTGTGGTTTGGAATTGGGAACAGCAATTTTGACCGTTTCCAGTAAAACTCACGGTCTCTGCCAGCCCTTCTTTGGAGCCGCAGTGCCTATCGGCTGCGGTTCCCGTGTCTGGAACAGCCTGTCTGTCCTCGCACTTCGTGCAGAGGCTGGGGATGGAGGAGGACAGAAGAGCTGGGACTCGGAGTGGATTAATATTAAACGTTCCTTGGGCATATCCATGTGCTGGAGCAGGATTCATCCCTCAGGGATGTGATCCCTGGTGCTCGCACCCCCTCCATGCATAGACGCCTGAGTTGAAGGATGGAGGGCTGTTTTCCATGCGTGCTTTGCCATTATCCCCAGGATCTGCAGACCTTTGCGTAAGGTCTGGGCTGGAGCTTGATTCCTCCAAGATGTCTCAGGTGGTGGCCTTGTAAATGAGTCACCGTGAGTCAAGTTCCAGTTTAAACACCTGCGGAGCAGCTGATCCCTGCAGGTCTCACGAAAAGGGGACTTGAACCCGGCAGACTTCTTGCTGCCGTTGCTGTTTGTGGTGTTAAATGGTTGTTGGGTTCGCATCATTTTCAGATGATTTTTAGGAGTCTCCGAAAGGGTTTGGGTGGCGGGGGAACGTGTGTACCCACGTGTACTCACTCGTATTTACCGCGCTCTTAAGGCAAAGACATTCAAATGGGCTTTTATAAAAGCTTTTTTAAGCCAAGCCCAGAGCCCTGGTGGGTTTCCCTGTGCCTTGTCCCTTTGGTGTCCCGCTGCTGTGCCCTGCGCTGATGCTGGTCCTGTTCCCCCATCTAGTGGAAGACAAGGTGAAGGACCAGCTGGAAGCCGCCAAGCCGGAGCCCATCATCGACGAGGTGGTACGTATATTCAGAGCTCCTCTGTGCCGGGTAAGTCTATCTGCGTCCAGGCTTGAACCTCACCTGCAGCTCTTACTGGGTGTCTCCTCTTCCTCCCTAGGATCTGGCAAACCTGGCCCCCAGGAAGCCAGACTGGTGAGTGCCTGCAGAGCCCTGCTCCTGGGAAAGGGGTGTTGGCGTCAGCGGTGGGTTACCCTCACCTCGAGGTCATCCAGGTTGGGTTAAAAGTGCTAGAAATGGGAAACACTGCCCTGCTGTTGAGGGAGAGACAAGGCACGGGGCTGTCCTCTCTCTTCCTGCTTACACCGAATGACTCCACTGATCCCTTTGGGGTGCTTGTCACCATGGTGGCCTCGGTGACAAGGGATGCCCATGAGCTGCCTTGGTGGCAGACACACAGTCTGCTCCGTGGTGCTCACGAGAGGAGGAGTTTCTTCCACTGGGGAAGGTGTAACGTGGCCCCCGCATTCACATCTGCCTGGGGCGAGGATTTGTTCTGACATTGTCATTCTCCTCCCCAGGGATTTGAAGCGAGATGTAGCCAAGAAACTGGAGAAGCTGGAGAAGAGGACGCAGAGAGCCATCGCTGAATTGATAAGTGCGTTATGATGCTGCAGGGATGGCGTATGGGGTCACCAGTTGTTCCAGAGGGGTTACATGGTCCTTACTGGGAGCTCAGTGCCTTGCAGTTGGGCCAGGGAGGGACTGGTGGAGCTTGATCCCCTTCCCAAGAGAGTCTGTGAAGCTGTCGGTCCCAAGTAGCTTCCCTGAGGCTGCACGCACGCTTGGCTCGCGCGGCAGGGAAGGTTGGTTTGTGGGTTCAGGTCCTCCACCGTGCAGGTTCCCCGGTACAGCAGGTTTATTGCTAAGCCACTGCTGTTTCTCGCTTGCAGGAGAGCGGTTGAAAGGGCAGGAGGAGGAGCTGGCGTCCGCTGTCGGGTCAGCAAAGCAGGAGGGAAGCGACTCCGACTGAGGAAGGCCACCCGGCAGCCTCGGGCATGGGCTCTGCGGATCTCCCTCTGCCAGCACCGCCGATCCCATTGCTCTCAAGTAGAGGCACCTCGCTGGGACGCGCTGCTCACCAACGCTTTGCCAGAAGCCCATGAATCCTACCATGCCTGAAGGAGAGGGGCAGATCCAAGGAGCCCTGCTGTCCTCTCTCGGACTATGGCTGTTCCTGCGTTGAGGAACACTTCTCAGGTAGCTTTTCGGGACCGTGGGGGGCTGATGGGAGCAGGACAGACACCCACGTTAGCTTGAACCTAGGCTGTCAGGACTTGGAGCAAGGAAGGTGCGGACAAAAGGGCTAGTGCCAGAGGAGGTAAATTCAGGCTAACTCTCCTCTCATTGATGGGTGAGCAAGAAGATGCCCACACAGCCAACAGCAGCCCTTAGAGAGGCACGACCATTACCCAGGGGACTGACGCTCCTGTTCCTGCGCAGAGGTGCCTTTTTCAAGGCATCTCCTTTCTTCAGAAGAGCTTCTTCAGGTGTAACTGCCACGAGGAGAACAAGGAGGTCTCTCGCTCTGGAAAGCTGGCTGTGAGTATTTGGGAACATCCATGGTCAGACCCAGCACGTGCAGAATAACTCAGGACCAGTTGGCTGCTCCGTGTCCAGCTGAGGTTAACCGGGGGGTTTGTTCTGTTCCCTGAAGTTTCCTGACCCTCCAGGCTGTGCAGTGTGTACCACTTCTCTGTATGTTTTATAATTGACAAAATTTGTTGTTAACAAACCTTTTCATAATAAAATGGTCCCGCAGCGGAAGAAGTTGTCGCTTGTTCTGCAGAGGGCTGGGTGGAGGCAGCTCGATTCATCTCCCTTCTGTCTCTGGGGACTTCAGACCACTGTTTGCTGGTCCCTGTCCCCTTCGCTTCCCTGGGCCGGGGAGCAGTGGGCTTCAGTTCGTGTAAGTTTGAGGTGGCCGAGCTGTAGCTACAGCAGGTCAGGCAGGATTCCTGGACCCAGCAGCCTGGGGTGACGCCAGCCCCATGCTGCTGGAAGAAGTGAGCGGGTGGGACGCTGCAGAGCTGCCCCTGCATCTTCCCTGGGAACATTTGCTCTGCCTCTTGGAGATCTTGCAGGATGGGTGTCTTGGCCAGGCCTGGTTGCACAGGCTCCTTAATCCACCGTGTTTGATTCAAAAGTGTTTTTGTCCCGAGGTAAAACATCTGGTGCGTGTGGCTTTGACAGCGGTATTTACAGAAGAGTTCACCTGTGACAAAAATAGCTGTTCCTGTTAATGCACGCATCCTGCTGCTTTTAAAAGCCTGTTGAAAAGAGCTGCTGGGGGGGAGAGGTCCTTCACGCGGCAGCAGCCTGCCTTGGAGGGGGATGGCGTTTCTGTCCTCGTGCCTGCTGGAGCCTTGGTGCCTGGATCTGCCATCTCAGATTGTCACCAGCTAAACCAGGTCCCCACGCAGGACAAGTTCAACCGTGCTAAATACAGACTGATCGACGCTTGTCCCTCTGCCAGGATCTGCTGTGACTGCCCACTGCTCTGTGCTTGCATGTGCTGAGGACACCTGAGGGGCTTTCCACCTGCCAGAGCCCCCTTCCAGATGATGAGCAGGCTTCCAGATGATGAGCTAGGAGCAAAGATCTGGTGAAACGCCTTCTTGTTCCTTCAGCTTCTGTGCGCAAACAGCTGCTTAAAGCCATCCCCAGCTGCCTCTCCTCTCCCTTGGCTGCCTGTTCCTGGTGTTTGCAGCCATCCCTGCTCCGTCCTTCCCTCGGGCTGGTGCTTCTCACCCCTCGGAGGGGCCCTTTCCCAGGTACGTGGGGCCAACAAGGAGACAGACATCCCACGGAGCGAGGGGAGACCCGTACCCACCTGGGCCAGTGGTTATCCAGCACCAGGCTCCAACGCTGGTGCGTGGTTGCGGACTCTGGGCTCTCTAGTGGAAAAGCACCTGGGATGAAAGCCCAACCACCTTCCTGGGGGTCATTTTTTGGTTATTTTTATTGATTTGCCCTATTCTTTCCCAGGCAGGAGGCAGCTCTAGTGTCCCTCACTCTTCTTGTCCTGGATCAGACTGTTTCTGGGCAAGAAAACCAAGATCTGTCACCAGTGTGAAGGTGCCACCCAGGCACCCCATGCCGCAGGGGCCGGTGGGTGCTGCTTGTCGTGGGTGCTGTTGGCTGTCAGGTAACACTGTCCCGTGGGCCCATCGTGGAACATAGGGGTAGATCTGCTGTACGGGGACATCCTCGGCACCGGGCAGAGCACGTGGTGATGCTTTGGGGAAAAGGACCCCCGACTCGTGACAGTGATGGCTTCTCTGCCACCAAAGCGGAGCTGCCAGTGATCGAGATGAGTGTTCAGTGATCGCTCCACCACACGGGTGTATTTGTGGTTAATTATCAGTGACCTGGGCTGTCGCACACCTTAACGTGCGTTTCTTCATTGGGAAGGGAATTAGGGGAGTGTGAACATGCGTCCCCCCCTGGAGCCACGGCCTCTTCTCCGTGAAACGCCCTGTAGATGTCAGCAAATCTCCGTGCACAAAACCGCGCTGCGTCCGGCTGGTCCCAGCAGCTGGACCCTGGACAAAGCCGAGCTTTGCATCCCCGGCGGCCGCTCCGGCTGGGATGCAGCCACGCTCCTCCATCCACCCGGCTGCGTGGTACCCGGGCTGCCCTTCCCTCCCCTGGAGCTGGACTGATGGCCTCTGCTTTGCAACTCGTGTCAAATATAAATAGGAACACCCCATGCAACGGTGTGAAGCAGAAGAGAGTTTTCCCTCGTTGACTTTAAAAGGACATAAATTGCCTTTAAACTACCCCGGGTTGCAAGCACAGCCCTTCCCAGAGCAAACCTGTGCTGTGACTGCGTCACCCGGAGCAGAGCTGTCCCTGCAGGACACGAGGGGCTGGGCTTGTACCTGGAGCGGGATGTCGGGGGGGAAGAGCAGGATCAGGCCCATTTCCCTCTCCAACGGGGCCTCGCAGTGAAGCATCGCTTATCCTGGCACAGGATTGGGGCCCCGTCATGAGATGTGGGTCCTGGTGTGGGATGGGGTCCCGGCATGGGACTGGGGTCCCTGCATGGGACAGGGATCCCTGCATGGGACTGGGGACCCTGCAAGGGACAAGGATCCCGGCGTGGGACAGGGATCCCGGCATGGGACTGGGGACCCTGCAAGGGACAAGGATCCCGGCGTGGGACAGGGATCCCGGCATGGGACTGGGGACCCTGCAAGGGACAAGGATCCCGGCGTGGGACAGGGATCCCGGCATGGGACTGGGGACCCTGCAAGGGACAAGGATCCCGGCGTGGGACAGGGATCCCGGCATGGGACTGGGGACCCTGCAAGGGACAAGGATCCCGGCGTGGGACAGGGATCCCGGCATGGGACTGGGGACCCTGCAAGGGACAAGGATCCCGGCGTGGGACAGGGATCCCGGCATGGGACTGGGGACCCTGCAAGGGACAAGGATCCCGGCGTGGGACAGGGATCCCGGCATGGGACTGGGGACCCTGCAAGGGACAAGGATCCCGGCGTGGGACAGGGATCCCGGCATGGGACTGGGGACCATCCCGGCGGAGGACAGGGATCGTGGCATGGGCCTGGTGTCCCAGCATGGGACAGGGATCCTGGCATGTGACAAGGATCCAAGCATGGGACAGGGATCCTGGCATGGGGCTGGGGTACCTGCATGGGACAGGGATTCCAGCATGGGACTGGGGTCCCGGCATAGGACTGGACTCCCTGCCTGGGACCGGAGTCCTGGCATAGGACCGGGGGCCCGGCATGGGGCAGCCCTGGGGGCTAACGTGCAGGTGCTGGGGGACTAATCCCCCCTTCCCTGGGGCATTCCCTTCCCCAGCCCAGGGAAAAGAGGAGTGTGTTGGGAAGGGCTGGGAGAACAGGGGCATTAGGGATGTAACACCAAACTCTGCATCCCATGGATTTAATTTATTCCCTGGCTGTATGGCCAGATAGTGAGGGATTTTCTCCCTTTTGAAGGCTGTGCCCCAAGCCTGTGTTTATCCTCCAGACCCTTTAAAATCCCAAACGCTTCTTCTCTTGGCCCAGAAACAGTTTTAACTTAACCATGGGTGTTTTTTTTTTGCACTGCAGGTGTCCCAGGGACCCACCTGAAGCCCCCTTGGACAGCGCAGTGCTCTGTGCTCATCCCGTGCCTGTATCCTCAGGATGCTGCCGCGGCAGAAACACTCGGAGAACCAGCCCTGGTTTGCTTTGCCCCGGTTTCCCTAGATGAGGGGAGCTCCTCTGAGAGCCGGGCTGGAAGAGGGGGACGAGACACGGGAGAGCCCCAAGGACGGGAAGGTAATTTGGCTCTTTGCAAACAAAGAGGGCAGTGAGACCAGAATTAACAATTTCTCAAGAAAGGTAGATCAGAAAGGCCATAGGAGAATGGAGAATAACTCCGTGAGATAATCCCTTCAGTTCCAGGGAAATCAAAGGCTTAACATTTACCCTGTGCCTCTTGGGGGATTTCTCCGAATCACTGAGCTGATGCTCCATCCACACCACCAGATACCAGAGGAGACTCCTCTGGTCATTGAGCTCCTCGGGACAGGGATGCTTTTCATGCCCTGTTTTTTGAAATAAGGAAAGCAGCGGCCCACGCGAGTCTGCAGGTGTGAGCTGGTCCTTCTGGAAACCTCAAGGGTAGTTTGGGGTGGATGTGGGGGATTTGCTCCGTTGCGTCTTCTCCTCCTGCCTCCCCAGCAGCAGCAAGAGCAGTTCCCAGCTCTTTGCAGACTGCCCAGCCCTGCCTCTCCCTTTTACAAGCTCTGGTGATGAACAACAGCATGTTGTTGGGATGTCTGTCCTCTACCTGTCCCTCCCAAATGGCTTGGGATCTGCTGTCCTGGCAAGAGACCTCGACGCAGCCGTTGTCTCCTTTGGGTTGACAGTGCTGCAACCCCCAAACCAAGACCAATTTCTGGCAGACACCCGCACCTAGCAGAGCTGGTAATAATTCATAACTCGTAACTCATGC